CTAGCCCTTACATTCTTATCAGGTTGGCAGGTAGGTAATAGAGGATGGGGGAACAGCACGGCTGCAGGTGCTAATTCAAGGTCTTACAAGATAGTGCACATTTCTTGCTAATTGGGTAGGAGGGTTTGGAACATCTCGGAAGAGTCAAGGTCTTATTGGGAGAGCCAGGAAAGGAAAGAGGAGAAGAGGGGCTAACTGCTAGCGGGTATTAAAGGCAGTTTGAATTAAGATGGAGTGCCTCATGTTAAGCTAGGTTATTATAGTATGCCACTCTCTTTGAGCTGGGCACCATTGTTTTCCACTCAACCAAGCAAGAGATTTGACTGCAGTGTACATACTCTGCCCTTGTTTTCTAAGAGGAAGATTAAATTTCTAGCAGGACCTTGACCTTGATTTTTCCTGTTCTAGTTAGTGTTCTGGTTCATTCACGGTTTGAAAATCCACATCTGTCTTGGTTTCTTATCCTGTGCCATGACTGAACCAGGCTTTTCTAGTTCAAAGTCTCCATTTATACAGAGAGCTTGGATGTAGCACTTTTATACAGGGAGATGGGTAAAACTGTTAAAAAGTATAGTCTTTTTGCCTTCCTGCTTGCAGTGTGACCTGTTTGCTTCCATATTCTTTACTTGTGGCTCTTTTTCTCTCTTGGTTTTTTTATTCTTTAGTACAGTGCCTTGAGTATATTAGTTGAATTTCTTTCTAAGCACCCTGTTGAAGACGATTGTGTCAAAGGGCTTTTAAAAGTTTGTGGAAAAAGGGAATCAAAAGATAATGGAATTTTTCTAAGAATTTTTTTATGCCCTCCTGTTGTATGAATTTTTGATTAGTAATCATGTATAAATTCATTAGCATAAATGTATATGTGCTATAGCTAATAAAACTAAGGAATGTTAGCTGATTTAACCTAGATATTCTTAAATAGACCTCTGTGTGTGCCACAAAGCCCAGCTATCAAGTCTGTTCCAAGGTGGTAAATCATTACCAGCATTCTCCCATGGGGTGGCTGGTGTGTTTGAACTACCTTGTAGTTAGCAGCCTAGTACATCATTCAAAGCATTACTAGGGCTCCATTTGTATATGAATACCTATAGATATTATAATCCAAATATAGGTGAATGTGAAGATATTCTATGCATTTTTCTTAAGTAAACATCTTAAGAAGAGTTTGTGCCTCTTGTCCAACAATTTGAAACCGTTTGTAAGATGAACTGTTGAAGGATCGATTTAGTAACTAGTTTGTATTAAAAGCGATGTAAGTCACCCATGCTACTTTTTCATGCTAGAAAAGGATTATGTATACATTGGTAACATTTAGAGAGTCAACTCAAAGAGGAATGTATTTTAGCTATTAACATTCTTTCCATGTATTTTGACACTTTAAATGTAACATTTATGCATATATAACAAGAAAAGATCGTGAAAGAGAGGCTTCTGGTTGCGAAAACTCTCTAATATAGTCTTCCCAGATACTTTTTGCATCCGTAGACTGGTATTCCCTTTGTTCCTGATCTTGGGGAGTAAGCCTTTTAGAATTTTATTGTC